GCTGCCTCATAGAACGCACAAGACTTCCTCTTCAAGTCATATTCTACTCTTTCGAGCAGCAATTCGCCTACCGTTAGTTGAAAGGAATGCCTAGTTTTCCGCAGCGCGGTGAGGTCACTATCTGCGAGATCAATTGCGATTTGGGTATGAATCACTGTCTTTCTTGTCTTATTCCTGTTGTGCTTCCAGTTGGATGAATGCTTGATCAAATTATCGTTCCATTTTCTCTTGCCAGTAACCGCCGAAAGCCTATCTGACAATCGAGCAAAGGAAACCTATGGAGGAGTACTCGTATGGTTCCTTTCATTGAATATAACCCTACGAACCTTTTATTATCATTGCAGTATATTTTGTTTTTTATCAAGATTTTGGAGTTTGTTATACAGTTTCGCATTCGTGTATAGCTGATTTTAAAGTGGCTCTCTCAGGGTTTTGTTTTCAGTCCCATTCCTTTCCGTGCGGACCCAATGCCGCCATCCGGGCCAGCTGCGGAGCAGGAAAGGAATAACACTGCTCCGAGAAGTGGTTTTGCTGCTTTCAAAGAGATCCTGAGTGACTCGTTCAAGCGTATTTTGCTTCCAAGTGCTGTAAGCAAATCTGCTTCGTTGCGACTTTGCTATTTATTGCGACAATATTCAATGTGGTGGTCAATCTGTATGTAATGTCTAACTTCAATGCCATTCTAAGTATAATTTTGATTGAATATTTTATTAAAAAAAGAAGTTGTGGATTTATATGGCTCTTTTAATTTGAGCAGTTATGGCCATGAAAACTAGGCTTTATCCTTTTCCCTTGTTGTATGACAGGAAAGTACAAATCTGGCTTTTATGTGTTGCTAACATTGCTCTACTTCTAGACCTTCTCTGTGTTTATGTAATCTCTAAGCCATATTGCAACATGTGAATGAGTGAAGAGGGAGAAATGCATTGCACCAAACCATTCTTATAAAACAATACATCCTAATAAAATTTTGTCTAGGAATTGGATGTTTCTTAGTTTGGTTGCTTGCGCTTCTTGTGGTATGTGGCCTGGTGGTTAGCCACTTGCTGCCACCTGTCATTTCCTCTATTCCTTTTGGAAGAAGGATTGGTTCAATGAGTTGGATTTTGGCCTGCGAGCTTTTTCTTAAAAAAAAATCAATTTCTATTTAGGTCCTTTTGAAAATTCAAATTACATCTAGTTTAATTCTTAAAATCTTTGGCTATGCATTTCCCGTAAGTTTTTTGAAAGTTTTCCTCTTAATAGGTCAGTAACAAACTTATTTCTCCAGTTCTCCATCTTTTTCTTGCATTTTGAATTGTGTGAAGGTTCTTTTAGAGATGTAAGTTGTAAAGTTCACCCATCGACTCTACTTTGTATGGTAATTATTTAAATACAAATAAAATGCTATGACATGTTACATGTTCTACTCTCCATGATTCCATTGCATACAACAAAACTAACAATCCTATTTCCATTTTGATGCTATTCACACTATCCCTATTTTTAATTTTTTTGTGATATGCTGTTCCTTGTTTTCCCATACATCCTTAAATCATTCCCATTTATAACTTGGCCATTAGGGATATATTTATCACCTAAGACTCATATCCATATAGTATAGCCTTTGTAAATGCAATTTATAAAAAAGTCCTTTAAATCTTAGTGATATCCCTCAATTCAATTTTATCTAACTATGAAGACTTCTCTTAACAAAGTTGAAATCGCTGTGATCTTTATAAAACTAATAGATGCTTAACCTAATCTAGTGAATTTGGGCTCCTACACGCCGTTTAGCTTGATAGTTATTTGCAATTGCCTACCATTATTGGAGTATTTGTAGGAGTAATAGTTGGACCACGATGAGTACTAAAATTATAGAAGATGCACTTGGTGATGTGTATATGCTGGGGTGAGGGAAGATTTAATAGTTGGAGAATTAATTATAGGCGTGGTATTAGGTTTAATAGTTACTTATCGTGGAATTGGTGGAAAAAATTTCCTAGGAGGTTTAGAAGAAATTATATTTTTTGATGAAGAAGATAATTCCTTTATCCATGAGATGTAACAAAAAATCCATTTAATTTTTTATAATTTCATTATATTTGCCAATTTTCCCATCTTATTGTAGCTGTTTTTAACTCTTTGATCATACCAATCAAAGCTATGCTTAATTCTTTTAAATTTATGCATGAGTTTATAAAGGGATATTTTGATGATGAACAAACAAGAGATGAAGGCTTGAAAGAAAACAAAAAATTGGTTGTCTTATGAATATTATAATCTAATAATTATGAACAGAAGCAACTAAATTCTTACCAACCATATTTTTTGAATGAGAGCTCCAAAACATGATGCTTGATGTAAAAACATAATCAACTTGATTTTTGCTTTCCTTGACACGCCTTTTGAATGTTTTCTGTAAGCACTCTTGGAGCTAGGGCTCTAATACCAAATTAGCGGCAGTGGAGGTATGCGGGTTTTTGTAGGATTGGAAATGTGGGAAGTTGATATGGAATAGGGATGCTTTAGGGTTTATTGTAGAGGCAAACCCTAAGTGTTTGAATGCTAGGGTTTGGGGATGGAATCCCAATCCACAACCTTATGATGGGACCTAGGGCTTGGCTTACATGGAGGTAAGGGGTATTCAGATGAGAGATACGAAAGAGATGAAATATTTCATCGCCTAAAGAATTAAACCATGATTAAACCACCAAGCCAAATCATGAATGATTTCAGAGTTAACTCAAACCACAATAGGAAAAACAAATATT